CGTAATGATATCTTGATGCCTGCGAATAATTGCGATCTTTGCATCATTGTACGATTTACATTCGCAGTCTTTTGAAAAGAGTTCAAATAACCCACGGCACACGATGTCTATCTGTCCACTTACGTGAAGTATCTAAAAGTCCAAGCCGTTCTCCATGTTATTAATGTTAAAGGCACGTGCGGTGCACAAAAGTTTTAAACAATTATTTTTAAACCAACAAAATTTCATTAATATTTAAAAATAATTATATATAATATGACTTTCAATCATTACACAAGATAAATCTTAAACGTCTAAAGTTAAACATCTAGAGTCGAAAAGAAATATTAAAGTCATCGCATTTATATGCTATTAAATGCTATTTATATGCTGTTTAATATAAATACTTTGTCAAAAGATATGAGAAACTTACCAATGTTACGATGAACGCGTCCAGCATCCCAATTACCGAGGCGTTGCTCAACAATTGCACAAATTGAACAAACATGACAATTTCGTAAACAGGAGAAAATTCGTAAACGAAAGGGAATTCCATTTTAAGAAATAACTGCTGGTCTCCTTTACTGAACTCGTCATTGATACTATTAAATTCCAATATGACAGAGACGTAGACCACAACAGCTATTGAATATACCCCAATAATCAGCATCGAGCAACGATGCGAAAGATTAGCTTTACTTGTCATGGTGCATACATTGAAAGCGACAGTACCGCAATTGCACCAATCTCGCGACATCGATGATAAAATGTCATTAAATAATCTGAAATAATTATTCCCACCGCACAAAATGCACTGATAACATTAATTCTGCGTGTTACAAAAGAAGGAGAATTATAATAACGAAAATTTCATACATGCATTTAAAACAAGATAACTGGTTTCGCAAATCTCACTTCATCAATTTTATATCTTAAAAATCTTACAGATTGACAAATAACTACTTTACAAAATACGTTTTTGTACCAAAATAAAAAAATTTCTTACCTCTGATTTAACCAGAGCATAATTAGCTTCAAACAGAGCAAGCTGTAAGGCAGCGTGGTACTGACGCTGTCCACTAAATCGGGAAAATTAGCAGTCTCGACGCAGGTGGCAATGTATTTAAATTGTAATATTTGAGCAAGCCCTAAGGATATTGTCCAAAGAGTCCGATATAAGATGCTATAAGATCCCGACCAAATCCCAATGGCGCGTAACCCGAATTCAACCGTGGGGCTCACAGTGGTCGTAAGACCCATTTTACGTTAATTCCGATTAGCAGGACGGCTATTCCCAACGCATTTGACAATACTTCTCTTAATGCCACCCTTAATAATAGTCAAGAAGTTACCACATTATTACCAGTACTTTGATACAATGTAGAAATCTCACCACTCGCCACGCAACGTCGAGTAATCTTCAAGAATTCTAGAGGGGTTGTTGCCCGAGCACGAAACCCAGTGTTATCGAACCATTCGAAATTATTCATCGCACATACGTGGTATATTATAAGAGAAGAAAACTACACAACTATGATTTTAGGTTTGCCAAGGAGGAAAAAATATATTATAGGTAATAAGTTTGGCGCTCCTCCACGTTGAATGCTCCCAGATGTGCAATCGCAATATTATTCGTTTTAAAAATGCAAAAGCCACGATTTGGGTAAGCTTGTACATCGTAGTGCACTACGGAATTACACTCGAAAGTAAGATGGAGAACTTCGCGAAAGGGAGGGAGTCAAATATCCCTGACACAACCAATGCGCAAAGCATGACGCAGTGTTCAGTGATCAGTGTCAAAGATGGATGTTTCTCTCTTTCAAGTTGCTTCAAGTGTCTAGTGCTGTGCATGCTGTGTTTGAAAAAAATAATTTATTATTTTGTAATCGATAAACTTATTTACTTGATAAAAAAAGGTGCTATTTTTTTTTCGGTGATTTTTGCAGTGTACTTTATATTTTTGAAAAAATAATTTCTCATTTCTTTATTAATAGACTCATTTCTATTCTAAAAATGAAATAGATAACAAAAAGTGAATGAAGTCGGATAAACAAAATAGTATTTTTGCGCTATATTTATACATTTATTTATACAATTTTCTCTATATTAAAATAATTGCAATTGAAGTCATTGCATCGCAATGGCTTAATTAAAGCAATCATATCTATAAAAAATTTTTACAGTGTTGTGTTTCAATACATTGCATGTAATACCGATACGTAAGACGCAGAAGCCTGCAGTATCTGCGAAAAGAAAACATGATATAAATAATAAATTGTTAAATTTTATAATTTCGTGGAAGCAATTAACATAAAATAATATAATAAGAATTCGACTCTTTACTAATAATCTTGTTGGTTAGTAAAAGTTGTAAATTAAATTAAAAACAAAGCTGTTTTTAATTTAATTCGTAAATTCCAAAATTCTTACACTTGTGAAACCTTCCAAGGATAAATTCATAAATTTTCCAATTGTCATTGTCAATTCCTTTTGGGATTTCATTATTAAGAAAAATATGATTTTACTTTCAGTAGACTTTAATTCATACCAAAACGAATTATATGCCGCCTCATTTATAGACTTGCTCTAAACAAGCAAAGAAATAAAATATTAACAATAAAGAATTTGTAAAATATATTTATGTGACAATTTAGTAGATATAATGATTTGTTTGCATCTTTGCACGAATTTGATTGTTCAATTTAATTTATTCTATTTATTTTATTTATTTAATTTATTCCAAAATCAATTTAGTTATTAAATGTATCTATGTAACATTAAACTGATCTTAATCTTCTTTTTTTTCACCTTAGAATTGAGATATTCGCCGCTGTAACAAAGTACAAACGCTTCTAAGTTCATGACGATGTAATAAGGCATAATCCTCATCAACAGGAGATCCACATCAGGGGAATTGAGCGACTATGATATAGAGATGGATCCTTCGAACAAATCCTAAAGTTTCGGGACGAGGATATCAAATTACTTACGGTCACGATTATGAATCCGAGGAAGCAAATAACGAACATATTTGAAAAAAATTGCATCAACGACATGTAGCAAAACACATTCTCGATACTGTCTGCGAAGGCAATAATCCTTTGATGTCTATTCACGATGGATCTCAATGCAACTATACGCATGTCGCATTTATCCTCAGCTATAGGAATTTCCAACAATTCGTGACATATAATGTCAATCTGACCGGCAACGTGAAGTATCTAAAAGTGATATTCCAGAAATGTATCGCAAAAGAATATACTCGATTCATAACGCGTTAAAGATTTGTTAATTCGAATTTGACATTCAAATTTTTCTGACACAAAATTAATTTTCTTAGTGATAAAAAAATCTTTAATATAATATTCTTATAAATTGTTAAAAATTGTACAGTATTAGAGTTATAATAAATTTAATTTTTATAAACTTTTTTATAAAATTATTATAAGTTTGTTTAATTGTTATAATTTTTTTTTTTTAATTTGAATCGTAAGGTAGTAATACTACAGTTGTAAATAAAATATTTTTGAGAAAAGCGCAACATTTTTCAATATGAAACCAACTTACTAACGTCACTATGAAAGCATTCAGCATTCCCGCTACGAGTGCCAATGTGGATTGCACAAGAAATTGTGTGACTGAGACTATTTCGTAAAGTGGTGATATGCTGCACTCGGGCGGCAGTTCCATTTTAACAATAAGCTGCCTTTCTTCGACAAGTTGCTCGGAATCGGTGCTCTTTTGAATGACCATGTTACCTACCCCAAATAAAAATATCGAGCACGAATACGCACCAATACTGAATCTTGAAAATCGACGGGACAAAATCGCTTTATTTATCATCGACTGCATCTTCAAACGAGTGGACGCACACTCATTCCAGTCTTCTGCCATCGTCGCAAAAAGGTTGTAAATGATACTAAATAACACGATATATATGCACGTAGATCATTACTACACAAATCAATAACAAAAATAAGAAATTTTCTAAAAAAAGATCCTTTCCAAAGGATCTCGATTCAATTTTCTATGAAAAATTATATCTAAAACAATTTGCCATAATATATCGTATCTATTATCGGACATTTTACGATCAACTGTCAAATTAATTGTTCCTCAAAATAATGCATCCATTTCCACGTTAAATATTAATTATTAGTTTAAATCAAAATATTTTACGCATGTTTGCTTTCATTTGTTAGTTGATGACGATAACAAATCTTACCGCCCGTTGAACCAAAGAAGACTCAATTTCAGAAACAGCAGGCTGTTTGACAAGCACAGACTCAGAGAGTCCAGGAGATCCGGCAGAGTGTCGGAACCGATGTGAGTAAAAAGATACCAGTACTGTAAGAATTGCGAGATGATCATCGTCATCGTCCAAACGACGCGTGGCAGGAATCTGCACGAGGAATCCGGCCAAACGCCAATCAGCCGCAAAGTGAATTCCATCGTACGGTCGATGGTGCTGGTAGGTATCATCTTCTCTCTCTTTCTCTCTCTCTTTCTGTGCTTCCCGATTAATTGGCCGATTCCGACAATCGTTACAGCCACAACCACGTAGAGATCGTCCGTCCGTCCGTCCGTTCAATCGACGTAGAGATTCGCAGTTTTATCACGTCTCTCCCGAAAAAGAAGCTGGACCCTTCCTGATTAAGTGCAACCAGCCGTAAGTCACGTGTCTTCGCGCTGCGAGCACTGATGTTGAAATCTTGGTGGCTAGCTAAACATGGCTAGCTAAACATGGCTAGCTAAACGCCATGTTACCGCCATAAAAACTTTCCACGAGGACTGCTTGATCTCATGGAGGCAGCGAGTAAAGTGTTGCTTGCACAGAACGACTGCCTCGACTGTAATTATCGAAGACAATTACACGAAGTGTACATAAATGTGTAACGACCACTTTGACAATTGCCGGAGAAAAGGACTGTTGAGGATAAGAGATAGACTGATCTCGCGTATTTTCGTGCATTACGCTTCCGATGTCACCGATGCGATCGCAAGACATTTGCTTTAAAAATGTATGGCTATAATCTCTTAAATCGCCTCATGGCGATCTCGAGCAATCACGGAAAATTAAAATACAATTGTCTGAAGATAATGAAATGTAATGGCAAACCATAATAGCTCAATTTGTCGCGTCAGGTTTGCTATACATCATGGAGAACTTGCTCGAGCGACTTTCAGCGATTTCACATCAATTGTTTGACAGATTAATACGTTAAAAATAATTTTTTAAATAAATTCAAGACTAATCAAACAAAATGTGAACTTCAATTTTTGCTCAAATGGATAAATATTTTAAAAAATAAGTAAAAAAGAGTTAAAAAAAGGATTAAAAATGAGCCAAGCTGACTTTTGATGTTTATTGAAATATTGCAAAACAAATAAATATAAATGTTTTTATCAGTAATTGCATCATCTTCAGTGTGCTAATAACGCTAACGATTTGTAAATCTAAAAATTATTAACTATTAGCTTGCACCAACATTATTTTGATTTAAGCGAGATTTAAACATATATTTAATCTTTATCTTTATCTTCTTTTCTAAATAAAGATAGACATATATTTAAGTCTCGCTTAAAGCCAAAATAACAATATTTATTAGCAATTTAACTTAAATCTCAGGATGTAAAATCCGGAATTATACTGTTAATTAATCAGATTGCCATATCAGACTTTAATATTGTTCGATTGAAAGGTCTATTCGTATATAGAAAGTTGTTACGTGTGTATTTTAACATAGCTATTATTTTTCTAATGAAGATAAATATTTCTTTCCTTTTTTTTTCACGTGTATGTGTAACTGCATCTATCGAAAGAATCAACTTTTTCCGAAGTATTCTCTCGGCTTCGATCTGAAACAGTCGTAGTGAATAAATAAATATTGCGCTCGCATGAATTCACACGACTGCGAGAATTCCAATATCTCCGATCGACTTCTATGATGATGTAACGTGACAATTTTACAATGTGCATGCGACGGTAGCGGCAGTCGTAACCATCGCTCCTGCGCGAGTTACATCACGTAATAAATTTTATCCGTATCAGCGGCAGAATAGATGTGCCACTTTCGGAGTGTGTATCTCATGTAAATGTATGTCGTCTCATCGCTTCTGTTTTGAGAAGAAACGCGTATCGCATGAAACAATCCCTTTTCGAAGAGCGCAATGATAGACGTCGTCTCCCTCTCATTTCTCCAACCTTCTGCGAGTGAAAAATAAAAGGAACATACACACGGTAAATATTGTAAAAATTCGAAATGTTACATGGGTGTTCTCTGGTGAAAACCGATTTCCACGCTCGACGAAAAATTACAACGATATCTCCCTCGATGTTGGTTTCTTGCCGCATTTTGCAAACCAACGACCGACGTTCGCTCGACATTATTAAATTCACTTTTCGAGAAGATAACCACTTGAGAGGATAAATCGCAGGTAGGAATACCGATTTATGCTCGTTTCAAAGTGCATCATAATCATTCCTATAAATCATCCTTGCAATTAAGTTATTACAAATTGCAGACGTTCGGTCGTCATCCGTGGTCTCATAGGAAATCATGACGCCGGCGGCTAAAAAGATGTTGCGGACAAATACAAAATAATGCGAGCCGTAAAAATTTACGCGCGCTTTGGGAATTTCAGTAGAAAAGCAAGATTGAACAATATCGAGTCGTCGATATCAACTGGATAAAAATGCGTTTGATGTATAATTCCAAAATAAAAAAAAAAGTGAGTATGCATTTATATTGAATATAAACGTTTCGAAATTCGAATGAATATATTTCTATATACTCTTTTGTAGAATTGAAGAATATTTTGTAGAATATTATATATTTACATGTTTTATGCTAAAAATTGTAAAAATGTTTGTAGAGTAGAATCCATCTTTTCAAAATTAATGTTTATAGAATATAATAGATAAAATCATGATTCTTCCCATTTATAACTAAAGATAAATTTAAAAAGATATACTAATGATTAAGTATAAACGATTATAAAAAAGATTTATAAAAAAAGAGATATTTATCTTTTACATTTGTAAAATTCGCAAAGAATACATATTTTCGTTAAACAAAAATTGTCAATAATTTTTCTATTTTAATATGAAAATATGGAATACTAATAATTATTTCAAAGTTCACAAAATGACAGAGAATTTTTCTACTTAGTTTAATCCGCTTATCTGCTAATAGGAAGTAATATAATTTTAATTAGACACGCTGTTTTTATAAAACAGATGAAAAAAATTTTTAAAAAACATTAAATATAAATGCTTTACGAGGATTTTTATCACCATTACAACGTAAAAAAAAATCTAAATCCAAATGGAAAGTTTTGGATTATTATTGTGAAAAAGGATAGATAAAAATTATATTCTAGAAAAAAATTAAATTTTATATATATAAACATATATATATTTTTTATTCGTCTCTCTGTATAAAAATATAACGTAATATACAAATTGATTATTTATATAAATTCTATCAAAAAATAGTAACAACAGTACTATTACACAAGAGCCTCAAAAGTGTTTCCCTCTTGCGTTCATGAGAAACATTTCACTTCATAAAAATCTCTTGCAAAGAAAGAGAAGGTATTTTCAAGATTTTCATAAAATTAATATTCTACATGATTTTTCTTTTTCAATTGATTTAAAAATATATGCAGTCCAAAGTACATATAAATATTATTTACAGTAAACGATAAATTTTGTAAAATGTTCAAAAAGTTTTGTATCTATATATATGTAATGCTACGAAATCAGTATATGCGTTGAGCATCGATAGAAAGCACTCGCTTCCATTGAACAAAAATCAATTCTATTATAATATTGATTTAGGAAATAGAAAATTATATCATTCTATCATATAGCAAATTTCAATAATTATACTGTTATACAGCATCAAAAACTGATTGTGATACGACAGCGATCTATACGTTTCTTCAAAAAGCATATGAAATCGATATTGAAAATCGATAAAAGAAGTTGAGCCGTCGAATGTTTTGCACCCGAGCAATCAATGAATTGATCAATTGATATATGCCGTTACATGCCGTTGTAAGCTGGTCCGCCACCACCCTCCGGCACAACCCAATTGATGTTCTGACTAGGATCTTTGATGTCGCAGGTCTTACAGTGAATGCAATTCTGCGCGTTGATCTGCAATCTTTCACCATCCCCGCTTTCCAACGGCACGAATTCGTAGACACCTAAAACCAGATTGCACGCATGTGTTTTAGATTTGAGGAACAGATTGCCTACACACATCTTTCTCTCTCGACAACTGCAATAAAGTTAGAAGCACATCCAAAAACCATGTGTCTACCAGTTTGTCAAGCCACGCGAATTATGACCGATTGCAATAAAATAAGCAACTCCTTATATAATTTGAGATCGTTCGTCTGTTTCAAGAAAATGTTAATAATGTCGCCATGCATAGGATGATTTATTCAGCACGATTTATTCAACAGACACATATATTCTCAGTACTCTGCTGAGTGGAAGATTTATTCGCCGCGAAGGTCACATCGTGCCCTCGGCTAGACAGTCGATAACCCGGTCCCCACCATCTTCCAGACGGCGCAGCTATCCTGTAGGAAAGCTCCCAGACAAATTCCTCACCGATGCTCCAACTTTGGCTCTGTGAAAAGAAACAGGAAGACGCATCCCGAAGACGCGAAAAGAAGTATGGGAAAGAAAGTATGAGAAAAGAAGATATTGTAAAAATCAAAGGATGTCTAAAAAACAATGATGAGAAAGCAAACGTATAAACCAAAATCAAAATTGTCAAAAATGTTTATGTGTAAGGTGCATAATAAGGTGTTTCGTACATAAACTTTCAATCTTAAAGTTCAAATTAAAAAAAGATTCATTTTTGTTGCAAACTTTTCAATAAAAAATTTAAATTATATAATTATATAATTTTTTTATTCGATCAGAAAAACATTAATGATCGGACAAGATAATAAAATTTTGTGCTTCCCAATTAAGTTTGCTATAAATGTTGTCTTAATAATTTTAATTCTATAAAATTTTATAAATTAACAAAATATAATAGACGGCATTATTCGGTAGATTTAAAAGAAAATTATTACGTATCTAATTACGTATCTTGCTTGCCGAGTAACGCCATTATGTCCTATTTTTTGAACATATTTTTGACTTATGACATTGATTTGTTCATTCATAAATTAAATTCCAAGATATCTAATGGTTAAAAAGATAAATTATAATTATAATCATTATAAATATAAATAATTATAAAATCATTATGTACATATAAGAATAATTATATAAATTTTGAAGAAATGTTATAGCAGATAATATATATTTAATTTATTTGGAAAACACTTTCATTGTTTCAGAATTAATATAATAAATATTCTTGAGAAAAAGAAAAGCTAAATCGACAGCAAGGTTGTTGGCCGGAGCCGCAGGACGCGATTTTGGGGATTGAGCTTGGTCCGGGGTTGTCTAGCCATGCGGGGGTTGTCCGGGTGACTCCAGGTTCAAGGACACAACGGTCGATAAACCCCCGACAAGACTGGAAAAGGGGAGGGGAAGAGATGTGGGCGGAAGAGGAAGAAGCTAGATTGCCTGCAGACGAAAATTTATTCTGAACGAAATTGATCTCTCATCGTAATAATACTCTTCCTTTGCTGAAATAAATTTGCATCAGATAATTTTTCCGAAAAACAAATGAATGTTTAAATCGATAAAATCGTATGGAAATAAGCATGTTAAAAATTCAATTGATTTGAACAGAGATATTGTATTTCATTTCTGCGAATTTTAATAACAGTATAAATAGCATTTTTATTTTTCAATTTTTATTATTAAAATGACAAATAATTCAATTGCGTTTCAAAAATAGAAAAAAATTGCTTCAACATTATCTGTTAAATATCTAAAAGTAATATAAAATAAGCGATATTATGCAGAATAAATATCACAAACTCCGCAATGCGATAAGAGTATATCGCTTATTCATTCTTAACATAACCGAGTTTTTTCTTTTGCATTAAGAAAGATGGTTTTTGAATAAATTGATTTTAATGTTGCCGAGTGATATTTATGAAAGGAAAAAAATATATAATTTCCAAATCATGCAAATTAAATAAATAAAAATATATATATTTATCCAAAAATATATATATTTATCTTTTAATAAATTTGCGCGAAAGTGTTAATAAAATTATTAATTAATGTATTTCTCTCGTGAAATTCACTATAAATATATAAACGCTACAAAATATAATCTCTTCATAAATTTATTATGTTAATAGTAATGTAATTAATAAGCTAATAAGTTATTAAATAAAATAGCATTTAATAAATAATCAGGTTTCCTTAGACGGATATTATTTTTTATTAAATCGTTGTATGCCATAACTCAGCACACTCTGCACACAATTTGCAAAAAGAAATATTTGACTAAAATGACACTTGAGATAACTTTAAGACATTTGTGAAAATGAACGACTACTATCTTTTTCCCTGATAGTCAATAAATAATTGTAAAAAGCACATAAAATAAAGTCTATTTAGATAAAAAAAACACACGGTTTGACGGCTGTTAAAAGAAGTGAAAAATATGTTTTTACATATGAAATTCAAAGGTAACTTTAATTTCCATTTACGAATTTGATAAGTACGAAACGAATCACATCTACATGATTAAGTACATAATAACAAAATTAAGTGCAAAAATTTTTAAAATCATCAGCATGTCATTTAATATAAAGATGAATAAGGATAAGGATAAGATGAAAAAAGATAAATAAGCTTCTAATTTTTACCGCGACGCTGTGTAGTCAACACGGAGTTCTTAGCTCAGAAGTCTTAAATCTAATATATATAGTAAAAAAATGTTCATAAAGTCCATTAGATCAATCTTATAATTCACAAAAGGAATAAAAATATATCTAACATACAATCAATGCAGAATTCATAATCACAATATATTGATAAAATGGTAAATAAATAATTATACTGTAAATTGACTTACCAGCAGGGCAAAATCGACTTTCCGGACCAGCAAATTCAGCTAAATTTCTTTTTACAGGAATGGTATCATCCATCAAAGTTAAATGGGCCGGTTGATCAGCTTCGTGATTGGTACCGGTTAGAGCCACTGATGACAGAAGATCGAAAGATACCTCATTATCCGGTTTGGGATATTCTATCGGTTTTGATTCAGCCGCAGATTTCAATTTTTTATAATCAGGACCTAAAGACATAAGATACAAAAATGTTTAAAATATCATGTTTTAAATTAATATTTGTAATATTTTTCAGGGAATTTCTTCAAATGTCTCTGCATAAATTTTCCTTACCTGCATGGGACAATGTCCATGGCTCTCTTCCGCCTATTAACATGGAAAAACCTGAATATATGAGACCACCGTAAAGAGAAAAGTGGAAACTAGGCCTCATATTTCTTACAGCTTTCAATTCTTTATAGATCCAACTATTCTTTATTTTATCTGTATATGTTTTTGGCTCTAAGCCTTTTGTTGGTGAGGTGTTATTTTCTGCATCAATAATCGCTTCAATAACGCTTTCTGCAGCCAACATACCACTTTTCATGGCATTATGGGTTCCTTTAATTTTGGGCACATTTAAAAAACCGGCTGTACATCCGACGAGGCAACCACCAGGAAATTGAAGCTTGGGGATAGATTGGAATCCACCTTCTACCAATGCTCTAGCACCATAAGCTATTCTAAAAAATTAAAGAGAACAAACGTAAAAAATATGAAATAATATATACAATACATACTAAATTATCTTATTACAGATACCAACCTCTTTCCTCCTTCAAATGTTGGTCTAATACTAGGATGTTGTTTAAATCTCTGAAACTCTTTGAAGGGTGATAGATAAGGATTGGTGTAATCCAATCCTACAACAAAACCTACTGCAACCAAGGGTGTTTCTTCATTCAAATGATACAGAAACGACCCTCCATATGTATTTCTATTAAGTGGCCAGCCAACCGTATGCTCAACTGCTCCAGGTCGATGTTTGCTTGGCTCTATTTCCCAAACCTTTCAAAAATATATTTTATTTTAGAATATAAAACATATCTACATAGTTTCTAATTTTGTAATTCTAATTTAACTAACTCTTAAATAATTACCTCTTTCAAACCAATGCCATACGTTTGCGGTTCACAATCTTTCCTAAGATTCAATTTCTTTGATAATTGTTTTGTTAAATGGCCATGACAACCTTCTGCAAATATAGTACATTTTGCATGAAGTTCCATGCCTCGCTCGAATGTCTCTTTGGGTGAACCATCTTTAGCAATACCAACATCATTCGTGGCCACTCCTTTAACAGATCCATCTTCATGATATAAAACTTCTGCTGCTGCATAACCAGGATACATTTCAACACCAGCAGCTTCTGCTTGTTCACTAAGCCATGCTACTACATGGCCTAATCTGTAACAAAAGTACAAATTTTTACAATCAACATAAATTGTTTTTCTCTCATATAAGGACTTATATATAGGTGCATTAAGTTCTAGCTCACCTTACTATGTAATTTCCATGATTATACATTGGCATTCCCTTGAAAATAGGTATAGATATCCTTTTCTTTTCTGTGAGAAATGCAAATTTATCTTCTGTGACAGGAGTATTTAATGGTGCACCTAATTCTTTCCAATTTGGAAAGAGTTCATTCAGAGCAATTGGATCTAAACAAGCACCGCTAAGAATATGTCCACCAATTGTAGATGCTTTCTCAACAAGAGTAACTCTGAGTTCCTTGCCGTGTTTCTCTGCCAATCTACGAGCCTGAATGGCTGCTGACAATCCTGCTGGTCCACCACCGACAATTAGAATGTCGGTTTCGTCCACGTATCTCTCCATGTTCACATCTAGTAAATAAGAAAATACGTTCTTAAAATACATTGTATTAACTATTTTATTTTTATACGGAAAATTAAAAGACATACCTTTCCATCTTGAATCCGTCTCCCTGGGAATTACTGTATAATGAGTTGTAATTTGAGGATATTTGGCAGTATCTGAATAAGCTCTCTGGAAAATCCTTTGCACCCTCTGTACTGGTAAAATGCAAAATTAAATTAAAACATGTAGCGGATTGCTATATGTTTTATATTTGAATTAAAGTATTTACATATTTATTATGTAAACACGTTATATAAATTAGTAAAAAATAAAAGAATCAATTAAAAATTTCAACAATTTTTAAAAGTTTAAAATATAGTTCGAATTATTTGTGTTTATGCATAATTACATATAATTGTTACCAATTTATCAATCATAAAATTCTAACGTTGCAATTCGCACATACTCGCACTTCTTCAAAAATTCGTTTTTTCGTTTTGTAATAATCTAAATTTTTTCTTATATTTGATTTCAAATAAAAATATACGTTTCAGACAAAACTAGAAATTTTATTTTCTTGATTAAAAGCTTTTCCATGTTTCTAAAAATAAAAGAATAAAGTCCTTTTCTAAAAATAAAAGAATAAAACTCTCGCGCTTTAATATTCTTTTTACTAATGTAGATTAATTTTAATTTCGGTTCAATTTTTTATCTTTTTCTTTTAATTCTTAGAATTAAGAAAAGATAAAAAATTAAACCGAAATTAAAATTAATCTACATTGGAAAAGGAATGTAGATAAATGCAGAAGATGATACTTGAGCGTTTAAGAAATATTTATATGTCGCAGGGGCAAAGGGCAATCACACATATTTGTACTGTCGTAATGAACGTAAATCGTTTGAGATTAATGCTCGATATTTATACAAAAATTATCAAAAATATAAATTAAACAACGCCAAAGTATTTATTGCAGACAATAAACATTTATCCGCGTTGCAAACGTGATTAAATAATCGCGAAAAATATTTACATACGACCATAAACATTTCTTTACATCGAGTGGCATTCTTTAATGACGTTACGTAATGATATAATGTGCTATGTATTTTACAAATCGTAAATCGCTTCATCTCCGCGAAGCTTCATTTCATCGTCACTCAATGACCGATCGTCTTTCGAAAAACAGAACAAGCGAATTTTAAACAATACGATTGTCATTCTTGTCAATGTTGTACGGTGGTACAAGGTTACATCTGACCGGAAAATTTTTGACAAATGATATCAACACTTACTGGTGCCAGATGCACTGAACACCACGGAAGCCATGATCATGCACAGACAATATACAACTGTAGATCGACACGAAAGACAACCTGACCGATTATGCTAAAGAAGAAAAAAAAAACAAATTTACAATACACTTGTCGTTCGAGCGCAAGTAGCGCCAGATCAAAGGCGAGTGATGCCTGCTTCTTAATCGATGCCTCGATCGATTAATCGAGAATCGATTCTTCCTGGCTTGAATCGAAGGAAGGCGATCAAGCAAAGCGGCTACGTCTGTTTTCGCCGAGCGATTGATTCTTAATTATCGATCCGATCAATTATATTTGATCGCTTGACGAACAAGTCTCTTTGTCATCTTGAACTCACCCAATTATGCGTGTTATATTTCTTCACTTTCTTACAAGTCTTGCGAAAGTAGAATGCCTCGAGCGGCGTCTGTGCAAAACGAGTTTAATCGCGCACCACATTCGAATCGATTAAAAATAGAATTACGGTTTCAATTATTTCACTATCTTGAAAATCACTTTGTCTCCTTTTCTTTTTTTTAAGTAATTCAAAAAAAACTTATTCAAAATCATCGATGATGTACTATTAAGAATTATCGACCTTAGATAAATACCGATAACCAGATCTCAAAATTAAAGAGTATCGATATTATCGACTATTGATATAAATTTTAAGAAACTGTTGGCCTTCTTTGTATTATCGACAAAACACAGCAATTTTTGTATTGCTCTCATTTTTTATTAACTTTGTAGAACTAGAAATCCTTTTCCACAATTAAAGTAAACTCATGATTATTTATCGTACATAATAACATGTTGTAACACTAAATGTGATTTGATCAATTTTTCAACAAAAAAAATAATGTAAGAACAGAAAATATATTATATTATACATATGTACGAGACATTATCTCCTATCTCGATTTATTTGTATAGGACTGAATTTTATGATTAGTCATAAAACGGAAAGTTTATCTTATCTATCTTATCTATCTTTGTTTATTTAGACATTATTTGTCGAGAAGAAAAGAAGTTTTAAGAATATGAGAATATTTAAAAGATTAACATAAAAAATCATAAATTCTTAAAACTCCTAAATTGCAATAAAATAAATAACAATTTTTGAGCTTTTTTGGCGATCGATTCGAATATCTTTATGCAAGGATACGATTTTTGCTATCATATTCTTTCCAAATTTTTAAATATTCTAGCAAAACTGTTCTTTCCATATAAGAAGAATGATTTATTTATAAGCGAACCATATATGATAACAAATTTAAAAAAGTAGCTATAACTTTCTTTTATTATTACATATTTTATTTTATTGTTATTTTTCTGCGCAAAGATATAATTGAGTTATGGTTTTAATCTTGATTAATAATTCATTTTTGAATATATAAGATGGTTATTTATAATTTCCAGCCAAAAAAAGAGTTTTATATATCTTATATATATATATATATATATATATTTACAAATTTATTCTATTGATTGCAACCACTATTTTATTAAAAACTTTTAGATTTTAACATTTTGTGTTTTCTAACAATTTTCATCATGTGTTTTCTCGTTTCAAATATCTAAATGGTTACAATAACTCAGCATGAATTGAACACATGCTGTGCCTTTAGATAGTCCTACAAAAAAAGGTTCAAATTCTTTCTTCGAAAACGGCTAAAATGTGAAAGCATATCTAATTGATTTTAAAAGCGTATCAGGAATTCTATCCAATATAACATTTTAGAAATAACAAAAATTTTACTGCAAAGTTACTGACTTATATGTTTTTGAAAAAAAGAACATTCAATCGAAGTAAAATTAAAATTCTGTTTCCGATAGCCATAGAGATAAATACATAAAACGTTCAAATTGATTATTAAAATATAAAAAAATGTTGAAATATTATCGCCATGTTTAAACATCACGCATAATTATTTTGACGATTTTAACAAAATTATTTTTAGATTTGTATCTAAATTAAATAAAATAATATCTTTATAAATATTTTAGTACATTTCTTTTTTTCCTTTCAAAAAAAAGTATACAAACATTTTCATTTCAATATAATAATTCTAACAACCAATAGGCTAATCAATATTCTGCAAAAAATCAGAAAATTTTTTGCGAAATCTTATTCTAGGAAAAGTACCAGTAGGTTCTTTACTTTAAGTATCGGTAGATTCTTTACCTGAAAATCCTAGAAGGCTATTCAGTCAATTTTATGATTTAGTGACTCATTAGATGCCTTCCATTAAATGGAAGTCGACACAAATATCGTTTTGTCCTCATTGAATGCCAAAAAAGATAGAATGATACTTTTGTCGATTTGTGTCACTAAATGGAAGGCATCCATTTTTGACTTGCCAAAGGAATGTTTGAAGAAAGAGAATTCCTTAAGGGCATAAAAACTTTATTCTTATACAAAGATAAAACGTGTTGTATATCATATTGTTTAAAACTTTTAGAAAATAAAAACGTCTCAACTTAATCAACTGTATTAAGTAATTATTTACATTAAGAAAATTATTTTTATTATATTTAATATTTCTTTATTTATATTACTCTTACAAATATTATGTACAAAAAGATGTAATAAATTTTTACAATAAATATTATGTATATTATATATTTATAATAATATTTTAATTTATAATAAAATTATAAATTAATATAAATATATAGTATTGTCATAGTATGTAGTAAATTATAAATTAATATAATATATAGTATTGTCATATCATATGACAAAGAGATATATAAAAGAATGTTAAAGATTATTAAATTTTATGTTATAAAAGATTTTATAAAATAAATAATACGTATTATTAATGATAAAATAATAAGTTTATTTGTTTAAATCATTACAAAGTTAAAAAAATTAATTTTTTCCTATATGTATACATTATTAACGATAAAATTATTCTTATAATTAATATTACAAAATTAACATATATATTTTATATGTAGCTTTAATATTTTATATATATTTTTAATATTTTATACATTATATTATACAATTATTATTAATAATAATTATAATTATTCGCTATTATATTGATAAATAATATAAAGATTAAAAATATAAAGATTATGATGGATCTTCCATATTTATATTATATTTAAATATGGATTTATCGAATGATCTAGAACATGTTCCAAATTCCTTTCGTATAGAAAAGATTTAATTGACCAATCGGAATCAAAAAATCTTTGCTCGCTTTATTCTGATTGGTGTTGAGTTCTGGAATGTAACCAAAAATCGATTATTTGCGCATGCGTATAAAAGTGGTGGGAGCATGCATACATCATAAAACTAGTCTACCTCATATCTACCTCACATTTCGTTTTCTGATTTTCCAGTCAACACTGGTTGGTCCTTTTGCAGCACCGATTGGAAAGGTTAAGTGTTCCGTTGGGATCTACCACGTGAGCTTAGTGTCATTTAGTTAAAAGAAGAGAGAGCCTACATCCATCCCAGTTTTCGGGATTATCAATTCCTGTTCATAAACTTGTGACATTCGTCAAAATGGAAAACAGTTTTGATGGTAAGTCAAAAATAATTGTATAATTGATATCTATGAAATGTTTCATTCTGTAAAGAGGAAGACTAATTTTTAACATCGTGGATTTCGTTGAACTTTTAATATGTTGTACTATATATTTAATATAGAATTTATCCCATAGTTAATTGGTTCTCTTTTGCCAGTGTAGTCTTTTGCCAATAGTTTGTGAAAAATTGTTTAAAGTTTTCTTTGTACATTACGTATACCGATTTTGTAACCTTGAATCGCGGCAATGAATTCTGATCGAGCGAGTAAGATGCGCGGTGAGACATCGAGCGTTTAAAGCTTTGTTTTTTCCAAATCCTTTTCTTGTTTTTCCATATTTTTTTTTATTAATTTGACATTAAATAAATTATTAATAAATATGTTCAGCCAAGAAATATCTTTCTATAACTATATTTTTGAGGATATTCTATGGACATTTTCTTCCAAATTATATATACAGTGGTTGTGAAATATTGTGTCATAATCTATTATTAATGTCAACATTTGTTTCACACATTTGTTGAACATTGTGATTCACTTTGTTAACAATTTAATTTTGACGTATTTCAAGCTTATCAAATTTCGAAAGAAACACATCTAATAATTTTGTAATCGAAAATTAACCTCTATGCATGGTTGTCACATGGCGTCGAATTTTTCTATTGGATTTATCACGTTACTTGTGTATTAATAAACAGATTTTTTTTACATAAGTAAATAACTCGCGTTTCTTATAATATTATTATTGTATTTTCTTATAATTTTAATTGAGTCAGTTAACAAGACATACTTATTTTTTAGTATAACGAAAAAACTTTTATTTTTATTAAAAATTATCTTCTAATGCAGTAATGGTTAAATATACGATTTATTCTTTGTATCGTGTTAATTGTGCATTATATCATCAAGAAGATAAGATCTTATGTTGGCTTTGTTAAATTATCCGTGTATAAATAAAGATTGTACTGAAATAAACAACTCGCTTTATTTATCATTTTATAATTTTTGCTCCATTGTTTTACTTTTATCCATTGTTAATTTTAAATAAATTAATTAACTGAACGCTCTTTTTGAATATAAGAAAAAATATATCTTTAGTCTTTATTGAATTCTAGTCTTTTAATAAAAATAAAAATTTTTGGTAATATAAGAAAAAAAATACAGTTTTTTAATTTTTTGTCTTAAATAGAAATTAAATCATAATTGTATGATCATTTTATCGTTAATCAAATTGATTCTAATAATTTTTGTTTCATTTCGTTCTCAGGAGGGCTTCAACCTTTAGGAATAAAACAGCAATATGCATTTCATGATTTTCATTCTCCAAGGGGATTTAATGGAGCATTTTTGAAGTATTTAATGGGTGATGTTTTAACAGAACATACAAAAAAACATATTCTAAAGAAAAACTTTATACATGCTTGACATGTAAAGTAGAATTTCATGATTTAAAATTGTTTAGACATCATTATAACTGCGAATGGCACAGGTACAATATGAATGCAAAGGTGGCTGGCTTACCTTATGTCACTCTTGACGAATATTTAAAAAAGGAAGCAATTTATACTGAAAATAATAATCAGATTAAAAAAGAGCAATTTTGTCATACCTGCCGAAAGAAGTTTCATAGTCCGCAACAGTTTGACAATCATATTGTTTCGAAAGTTCACAAAATAAAATTAAACCAAATAATTGAGAAGTCAAACTTTCTGGCTTTGAAGCAAAAAATTGAAATAGATTCAGACGTGGAATCAGTGAGTTCAGATGAGTGGAATGAAGACATGATATGTGAAATTGAAAAAGATTATTGTCTGTTTTGTAATGTACGTAGCAAATCCACAATAGGCAACATAGAACACATGATAAAGACACACTCATTCTTTATACCTGATATTGAATATTGCACGGATTTAAATGGACTACTGGAATATTTAGAACAAAAAATATGTTCGGACTTCAAATGCATTTGGTGTAACGACTCAGGTAAATAAATTATTTTTTCTTCTATTTAAGCAATTACTTTTTTTTTCATTATATTCTATATTATAAATTCTATTATATATGTTTTTTTATGAGATCAGATATATTCACTAAAGAAAGTATCTCATTCCTTTTTGCTATTTTCACATTTTTAAGTTTTTTTATTTGTATATATTTTTTAAATAAATTTGATAAAAATTAAAAAAGAGTTAACTTGAAAATTGATTTAAATTTAATTTGAGGAAAATTGCATTAACATTTATGATCGAATAAAATTTTGTTTTATAGGAGAAAAATGCGAAGCGCACAAGCAGTAAGAATGCATATGGTCGACAAAGGCCACTGTAAAATGTTATTCGAAGGAGATACGATATTCGAGTATTCGCCTTTCTATGATTATTCATCCAGCTATCCGGATGCTGAAGATGCCAATCCAGACGAGGAGTTGCCACAAATACCAAAAAAAACTGTTTTAAACGATGAAGGCTATGTGATGAAGTTACCATCTGGCAGGAAAATTGTACACCGTAGTTTGGCACTTTATTATAAACAGAATGTACCTGTGGGAACCGAAGTGACGAAGAAAAACTACAATTATTGGTTACGAAAGCGTCTGTTTAAAGAAATATCGTTTGGTAGCACGGAAAAAAAAATAGAAGCTAATAAGAAGACATTGCAAGCTATTCGGTATTTACGAGACATCCAGGCAAACTACTCAACGAAACTGCAGTTCAAGCAAAATAAATTGCAAAAATATTTCAGAAAACAAACGAATTTTTAACCTAGTGACTAATATTATTATTAATTTTTAACCCTTTCACTATCGCCTCGACTTCACACGAATGCAATCATATAAGTATGGCTATACAGCAACTGTGCTAGCAATTCTTCTGTGTATATATTTTAAATAAGATAATATATTGACAAATATATAAATTATATATCATGTAGTAAATAAGCAATTATTTTTTTACTTCTGTATTTTTTTATGAAGCTGAATAATAACTTATTTTTGTATACTATTGTTGTTTGATCATCGTGATAGTATCAAAATGTAAACGCTAGATATTAAGTAGATAGTCACTCATAGTACACAGTAATCATTATATAGCGAAAGGGTTAAATATATATAAATCTTGTATAAAGTAAAAATATATTTTATAATTTATACAAATTATATGATGTGATATAATTATAAAATATAAGATAAAAAGTTGATTGTTACCATAGTACTGATATATCTTATTACATTGTTCATATAATATATATAATAAAGCGCAATTTAAATAAATTAATCATTCATATAAATAATTCATCTACGATTTTAACTTAACGTCAAATTTAAACCGCATTAGACACTGCGTTATTTAAATTACTACGAAATCGAAATTTATTATTTTTCTTTAAAACATACATTATCACGCAATACAAATCATTATAAATCACATTATATTTGGACGTCCTTACAAAATAATTTGTGTATATTTTATAATATACTCTTTTGTAACACGTTTCACCGACAAAAATATCTTCTTCTTGAATAACTTTTTTTTTTAGCTTACGTGGACCCGTTTATTATATAGCAACACTTCTGTATCACGATCGAAATCGCCGCTTTCAATAGAACGTAATAATTATATAAATATATATTTAAGTTAGAAGATAATTTTCACGCATTATCGCAATTCGCTGATGTTCGCATGAGAGAGAAAGAGGGGAAAAAAGATATAATTGGACGTTTATATATTTCATTTTAGACTACTTTTCACGGCGACATCAGCAAATTATGACGCAAAATAATGAGACAACATTTGATACTTTGCTTAACTTTCTTCTTGTTTCTTTCTGTTCTAAGATCGGTACGTAAATAATGTTCTGGTTTTAATTTTCAAATATCTTTTCGAGATCATTGTTACATAAGTATCTCATTCTTCTTATTTTTTAATTACAAAAAATATAAAAATTATATAATTATATAATTATGACAATGCGTTCAATATCGCTGATAATATAACTGATTATGTAAAAGTATTTTTCGCTTAATAAAAATATAATTTTAGTATAACAAAATCTTTCGAAAAAAGATCTTTATACATTTTTTATATTTATTGTTAAATTTGATTATTAATATTTACGATTATTTTACGATTTTTAACGAATGTAAGAATTAAATGATTTTATATTTTGTATCATTTTTTTCACTAGATTAGCTATTAGTTCCTCCCACAGGAAGGATAAAAGGAATAAAAGATCCAAATATGAGACAATAAATGTTTAATGAAATCATCTGCTGTATTAATTAAATTTTTCAATTTAATTATTTCAATAAAATCATTCTTTTCCTCCATTTCGTTTGTAACGAAGATTTCTCTATTCAGAACACGTATATAAGGGGCAGTAATACCGGATATCATCGGATTCGAAGACGTTTTGACATGTACTACGAGAAACGCGTGATACACTCTTTTCTCTTTTGCTTTTAGATAAATATTCTGAAGAGAAGGCGTCACGTCATTCGCGCGACACCGAGACATGTATTAACAGAGCTGTTATTGTCACGACACGACGATGATACACATATCTACTTTGCGCTTTGCGCTTTCGTGTTGACGGTTTGTTTAATTAAATTAAGCTCTCTGAGTGAGCTACTTTCTTATTTTATTTTTAATCTAGCAGCTTCACCATCAACTTTAATGCTTGATGGGGTGGCGTCGGTCTGATAGACTTGTCCAACTCTGAGTATGGAATCTCTGCTTCCACCTGAAAGCCATGCTTCAGACAGACCTTTTGTGAGAATGCGCCGGTTGCATCGGCTTTACACACCTGTAAATGTAATATACCAGATTAGTACAAATTGTTTACATTGAGCGAGTTTACATTTTCGTTTTTTCCTTTAATAAATTCTATTTTGAATATAATTAAATAAGATATCTGTGAAGTCTTCCACAGCAATTAAAAAGCCTTCTAAAACAAGTAGATAAAGCAAGAAATTTTAACAAATGAAAATAATTTAAAAATTGTAAAGTTCATTTTTCATTTTGCTTGACCATGATAAATTGTCTTTTTCTTTTTAACATTAGCTTAATAATAAAATAAATTGATTTATTCTTTATTTTTTTAACTTATTGAGATTAGCAGAATTAAAAACGGTATAAAAATATTAATTGATTTCTAAACAAATTTATTCATATTAATGATTCTGCTACGTAAGGGATTATGTACTAAAAATACTTTTAAGAAAAATAACAAATGATGGGTTGTATAATTATACCTGATAAAGGAGTAAACGAAAATCATCCCATGCATATTAACCGAAGAGCATGCTGAAACAATAAAAAAGTGTGCGCTGTGTATGTAAATTCAGCGATCTCGTCAATGCTACTTTAAATTAATAAAATAAAAATAATGTGAGAATTTCATAATGTGTAAAATCAATAAATAATTATCTAAATATATATATATATATATATATATATATATATATATATATATACTACACACACACACACACACACACACACACACACACACACACACTAGTT